TAGAAATTAGCCTACCTTCATATTTTAGATTATTTTATAAATTACCTGTCTTCTACAAAACATTATGTACTTGCTATACACACAACACAATCATAACAATAAATAAATAACCGGTTTTAATTGTACTGTAAATATCCGACCACGCATACATTCTGGACATAACATTCTTTTGAAATTTAATTAGTTATTCACTAGGAAATCCATTGTGTTGTTGTGAAACAAGCTATTACATTATTATAAATTTAAAAAAACGTGGATACCTATTGTACTACTATACCTGTAAATTTAATATCTGTTTCAAATTTCAATTGCATATCAAACACTGACTAAAATTATAACTATACTAAAATATCAACTTTTACTATGGGTATATTGACCTAAACAGAATACTTAACGTTTTGTTACATAAATTAACATTTTCTTAATATCACTACTAAACAAAGTGGGTATTTACAAACCTCTCCTTTTTTGGTGAATTATGTGTAGGTACTGGATACGTGTCTTATCACAGTGTTCAACACTTTCTTTACTTTATGTATACCACTAACTTTGTTTGTACTACAGCGTAACATCTAAATAACATTTGATACATAGTGGTGATAGATATAGGTGTACTTGATTTTATCACATTGAAGACTCTTTAAGAAATAATGTATGATTTTATTAGTTTAACATAAACCTTACATACAACTTATCATATAATAATTTCATATAAATGCAGTTATTGCATATGAGTACATACACTTACTGTTGTGTATGAACACACAACCGTTAAAAGTTCAACTCACTGTATTTTAACTTTTACTATGGGTATATACAACCAATGAACAAAATGCTTAAACATTTTCTTACTACTACCACTACCACTATCTACTACTGACTCAGGTCTACTCTCCTTTATTTGTGAGTTGTGTACTAGATAGGTATTTTATCATTTCATACCTAACCAACACAGATTATATTAAATATGTAAAAGTTTTCTTTTTACTACTTCTACTACTACTACTACTACTACTACTACTACTACTACTACTTACTACTGAACTAGGTCATTTGTAAGTTGTGTACTAGATAAGTTTTTTTATCATTTCAAATGTATTTTTAATGTTAGGTTGGACAGAGCTTAGATGTAGGCGTAGTCACACATTCAATTAAACATTATTTTGTACAGCTATTTGGAAAATGATTTGAACTTCAACGTGTAGCATATAATTTCACTATAACAAGTCTTTTGTTATACGGTGCAATACGTTTTTACAATGTTTCAAAGTTATTGTTGTTAGAAAGATTATAAATTTCTTTGTTTTTGGAATGGTTCTTGATTTTAAAGTTAAAATTTATTTATTTAACTATAACAAAAGTCAGTTTATCTGCTTACTACAATGACAATTGTATCAAGGTTAGGTTAAGCATTGAGTATGGATTTTGATATTCACCAATTTTCCTCCTAAATATATTTACCTTTCTTTTGTGGACCGAACATTATGTACCTATTTACTCGCTATTCACACAACACAATCAATGTAATAATAATTAATAAATAGATATAAAAGTAAAAGTAAATATAGTTTCGTATAGATTCATAGTTTTGATTTTACAGTATATAATATAAATAATAACTAATAGCACTTGCAATATTATAGCCGATCTTAGAGTTGATATTATTTTCTATACATTATTTCATACCTTTGTTTGGCGGTTCTACAAATTGTGTACACACAACACAAACGCATCTCCATACATCGACTCTCAGCTACTACAGACCTTTGGTTTAGAAATTAACTTAAAATTCATTGTATTTCTCTAGGTTCCAGTCACTCGGATCCCATGTTGTATCCGCTGTTCTTCCCGTACGGCGAGGCCGGTTGGCATAACGAGATGTTGCAAGAGGGACCTCGACGAAATAATGTCCGCAGTCGAAACTCTATAAGAGAGTTTGCGTGCTACCGCGTGGCCATTCGATACGAGGGAAACAACGACACGAGGCACCAACTGTTCAGTGCGATACATCAGGGCCGGTCCTTGCTTCAACAGTACCTGTGCGACCACTACGTTCAGATGGAAACCAACAATCTGAACTACATACGTGAGCATCAGGGAGAAATCTTTGCCGAAGCGTATCAAGGGCTCGTGGACCATGTGAACGAACGCCTCATCATCGATCCTATGGCGGTCGGCCGTAGGATCATTTTGCCGTCGACGTTCGTGGGCAGCGACAGATACAACAAGATGTGTTATCAAGACGCCATGGCCATGGTCCGTAGCAAAGGGAAGCCCGACCTGTTCATAACGTTCACGTGCAATCCCAAGTGGCCGGAGATCACGGAAAACCTGGCGGCTCACAGCGTTCCAAATGACAGGCCCGAACTGGAGGCCAGGGTGTTCAACTTGAAACTACAGGAGCTACTGGGTGACATAACTGTTGATCGTGTGTTTGGTGATGTCGATGCTTATGTTTATACAATTGAGTTTAAGAAACGCGGTCTGCCCCATGCGCACATACTCATAATCCTGAAGGAGGATTATAAGTTTCGCACGGCGGCGGACGTCGACGACGTGGTTTGCGCCTTCTTGCCGGACCCGGAGACCGACAGGCGCTTACACGACTGCGTGAAGTCCCACATGATACACGGACCGTGTGGAACACACAACCCGAATTGTCCGTGCATGAGGGACAACAAGTGTTCGAAAGATTTCCCGAAAGCGTACGCAGAGGAGACTGTGTACGTTGCAGAAGGCGGTTATCCAAGGTACCGCCGACCGGACGGCGGCCGGCAGGTACTTGTGGGGCCCCGGGGTCATCGTCATGAGGTCGGTAACGACTGTGTAGTGCCATACAACCCTTACCTTCTGGCCAAGTACGACGCCCACATCAACGTCGAGATATGCATAAAGAGCGTCATGTACATCTACAAGTACATATACAAGGGACACGACCGTGTGACATTGGAGGTGGAGGAAGAAGATGAAACCAAAAAGTGAGTCTTAACCTTACACTACACTTAGCGATATAAACATAATTTCTCAAAATCATAAATATATAATATATAAGATAAGATAATGTGCACATGTGTATGGTATAATGATTATAATAATAATACGTTTATTTAGTGTGGTGTTGTGTTTTGTTGCCCGGTGCAAGAAGGGCCAATGTCATAATTTGACAATCTTTAATTTTATTTTGGAACTCTAAACGTTATATTTGTTTTTATTTCATTGTATGACTCATTTTGTTTTCAATTATAAATATGTAGGTTTCAGTTTGATATTGGCCACCAAGAAAAAATAATAAAATTGCTTTGGTTTCGACATTGGCCAAAAACTAAAATTTTAAATAAACATTTTTATTCAAACATTTCTACATTTTAATAATAATAGTAACTTCTACATTTGTAAACTTTATCTGATTTGGTCGTACAGCGTAAGAGACATATTCCCTTTTGACACGAGTGACATAAGCAAATTTTAATGACATTGGTCAATTATTAATCTCAATTTTTCCAAAATGTGACATCCACCCTTCTTGCACCGAGCAACAGAATTATTTTATGTGTCGTTCGTTATTATTATTACATTTCATGGGTTTTCATTCAAGCTGTGTATAACAGACATAATAAACATTCTATTGCATACAGTACTACGCATCGATTAGATAAATATATTCAGTGTGTATAAATTATTTACTACTTTTTAGGGTAGTTGTATATACATTCACCATTACCTTTAAGTTTTATATATATATAATGCGTTGTTTAGGTATTATTATATTATGTACACTTCTACAGACAGTTCTATAGGTGGTCTACATTAGTACACTGTGCTTACCTACATACTATTTAGTATTTTTATTATAGGTATTAAATTGAAAATTATTACTATATTTTATGCATGTGTCATTTTTAGCAGTGTGTCCAGTGTTTTTTTTTAGGTTTTTAGGGTAGTTGTATACTTTTACCAACACATTTTATTATTTTTTACTTTTACTATACTTTACATTTAATGTGTTGTTTAGGTATTATTATTATTGATTTTATTATTTTCATTATTATTTTTTCATTCAAGCGAAAAACACACACATTTATAGATTGTTATTTTCATTGCCATAATTAATATTCCAATACCTTATATTATAATATTATTATACTGTGATTTATACACAGATAATGTATTCTAGCTGATACAAGTTTTTTAGTTTCACTTTACATTTGATGCGTTATTTTCACAGTGCAAAATTTAAATTGAATTAAATACATCAATTATATGCTAATAATTCCAACTCTGTGCATCATTTCAATTGTAACTTATATTAATTAATATTAATATTTAGCTACTCAAGACGTTTGTGTCTTACGCGTGCGCTACTACAACATTTATTTATCAAAACATATCATAATATAATATCGGTCACATTTATTATTGTATGCCAAACTTTACAAAATTTACAATTTAACGGTTGTAGGGATTCTTCATAATGTCCATTATATTTTTCAATGTTAAAGTAAAGAACTGTAAGTGTTCATGCAATATTCAAAACTTAGTTCTTAGTATGGTTAAACGTTTCAAATCGCTTCACTTCAAAATAAATTAAAATTATTAAACATTGTAATATATTATATTGCAATGCAATGCTATGCGTCTACAGAATAAAAAATAAATAAATTATCATAATAATACAACACCAAACGGTATCATCTTATATTCAGCCAGCCAATATATTGTTACTAATCTTTTCAATATTCCTTTTTAGGTACGTCAACTCGAGGTACGTCAGCCCGCCAGAAGCCGTCTGGCGATTGTTTTCGTACAAACTGCACGACAAAAGTCACACGGTCTTCAGGCTTCCCGTTCACCTGGAGGGTCGTCACAACGTGTATTTTCCGCCGGGCCAAGAAGAATTACGGCTACAGAACGAAGCTGTTGGTCGCACGAAACTCACGCAGTTCTTCGCGCTCAACGCGACCAACGTGGTGGCTCGACAATACTTGTACCAAGACATACCGATGCATTACACCTGGCAGCAAAATGTCAAACAATGGCGTCCGCGGGTGAATCGGATGACAAACGTTACATTGGCTCGGATGTACGTGGTGAACCCAATGGACCGGGACCGTTTCCACTTGAGATTGCTACTTCTGAACCGAAGAGGCCCGCAGTCCTTTCAAGACATAAGGACGGTGGACGGGGTCGTTCACGGAACATACACGGCGGCTGCGATTGCACTCGGACTATTGGAAGACGACCTAGCGTGGCGGAATTGTTTGGATGAATCCGCGTTGGTGGACACGCCGCGGCAACTGCGGTATCTGTTCGTCACTATACTGGTGTTCTGCCTGCCTGCAGACCCGCTGGCGTTGTACGAGAGGAACGAAGCGAACCTGATGGAGGACTTCAACCGGCGTCTCCAAGACGTCGACCGCGCGAGGGCCGCGTGTCTGGCAGCCATCGAGGATCTACTTCGTGGTCACGGAAAGTCACCCGCGGTCGACTACGGTTTGCCCCTCGCCGACCCTCTACTACTGGAACCGCTGCAGGACGACAACGCGCTGTTCCGAGAAATAGACGCGGCGGCACGGTGGGCCCAACAAGTGGAAAACTTGAACGCCGAACAGCGAACGGTGTACGACCGCGTGATGGCGGCCGTCGAAGACCCAGTCGAGGTGACGCGAACTTTCTTCGTCGACGGACCCGGAGGTACGGGAAAAACTACGCTGTACGGATGCCTGATATGGTCGCTTCGGCAGCTTCGGCGGGAGGTGTTGAGCGTCGCGTACACTGGGATCGCAGCGTCGCTCATGGACGGCGGCATGACGGTGCACTCGACGTTCGGACTGCCGTTCGGCACGCTCACCGAAGACTCGACGTCCACCATCACCATGCAGTCCGCGCGAGCGCAGAGGATACGCAACGCGGCTCTCATCGTCTGGGACGAAGCCCCCATGTCGCCGGGACTGCAACTGACGCTGGTGGACCGCCTGCTCAAGGACGTCATGGTTTCGAACTTACCGTTCGGCGGTAAAACCATGCTGTTCGCCGGCGACTTCAGGCAGATTTTGCCCGTGATCCGGAGAGGGACGAGAGCCGAGATCGTCATGTCGTCGATCAAGAACAACCATCTGTGGAACGTCATGGAGCGCTTCGATCTGGTCCAGAACATGCGCGCGGGCAACGACGCGGACTTTGCGTCTTGGTTGCTTCAGCTCGGCAACGGCCAACTGCCCGCGGTCGACGGCGTTCCGGACACGGTGGAAATCCCGCAGGAAATGGTATGCGACGTCGCCGATTTAATCGATTTCGTGTATCCGCAGCAAATGTCGTTGGCCAACGTCGAAGAATTTGCTCGGAGAGTCGTCGTGTGTCCCACCAACGAAGAGTGCAGAGGTGTCAACGCGGACGTGCTGGAGCGCTTCGACGGCAATTCGGAGACCTACCAGGCCGTCGACACCGCGGAGGTGGACGCGGCCGACGAAGTTGCCAATTTCCCCACAGAGTTCCTCAACACTTTGGTACCGGACGGCCTGCCGCCGTTCCATCTCGAGTTGAAGGTAGGGTGCATCGTCATGTTGCTCAGAAATCTCGATCCTAGGAGACGACTGTGCAACGGTACGAGGTTGGTGGTCACCGAACTGCGGCGACACAATTTCAAGGCGAGGATTTTGGGCGGTGACCCACGGGACGACGACATCGTCCTGCCCAAGATACCGCTCAGGTCCATCGGTGAGGACGACCTGCCCATCCCACTGAAGCGCATTCAATTCCCGGTGAGGTTGTCGTTCGCCATGACCATCAACAAGTCGCAGGGTCAGACGTTCGACAGGGTAGGTTTGCTTCTGACGACGCCCCCGTTCACTCACGGGCAGCTGTACGTGGCGTTTTCGAGGGTGAGAAACGCACAGTCCGTGAAAGTCGGCATGTACGCCGATGACAGCGGGCGATTCGTCACCAAGAACATCGTGTACAGGGAAGTTCTGTAATGCGGTGGCGAGTGGGAGTTGTATGTAGAAAGTGGTAAGTATTCGACTCAGGTAATGTATGATTGTATCCTCGGTCCGGTCTTGTATCGTGGACCGACCTTGAGTGGATAGGGCCTTCGTGGACCTTGCCTTCGTGGCTAAACGGATCTTCGTGGACCTTGCCTTCGTGGCAAAACGGAGAGAAAGTTTGACAACCTCCACGTGGTTCTCTCTGGATGCGAATTCACTATAGTATGAATTTATAGTGAGTTCGTAACTAATGTCAAACGTTAATAATTTAATTTAATATAAAAATGGTATATGTTAGAGCAACTAATTTAATTTAGATTTATATTCATAGTAAGATCATAATAACAATGCATAATAATAATCTATAACGTGTAACGTACACACTTTTTATTTATATTGTGTATTCATAATTGAGATTTTATTTTATTTGTAATGTTATTCGACAAATTATTATCGATTGCATTCAACAGAGATTGTATTCATGTTTAATAGTTGTATTTTTTTCTCTATAATATTACTGTCATTATTGTTATCTTTTGTAAATTGTAAAATGTATATTATTGATTATCAGTTTAATATATTATATGCCAAAAGCTTTTATATACGGCATGTACGCCGATGACAGCGGGCGATTTGTCACCAAGAACATCGTGTACAGGGAAGTTCTGTAATGCAATAAGTGGTAAGTATATTCTAGGTGACGTCCGACGATCGAGTCTAGATGATGGTGATAGTCTGGTTGACTTTAAACCTGACATGTGTAACATATTTTTCAAACACAATACGTTACACCACTGTTATACTGGTCTGTGTACTACATGCGCCCGATGATCAAAGATGACGATGGTAGTCTGGTTGACTTTAAACCTAACATGTGTAACAGTTTTTTCAAACTTAATACGTTACACCGCTGTTCTACGTGGTCTCCGTGGAGGTATTATGTGATACCTAACATGTGTAACATATTTTTCAAACATAATACGTTACACCGCTGTTATACTGGTCTGTGTACTACATGCGCCCGATGATCAAAGATGACGATGGTAGTCTGGTTGACTTTAAACCTAACATGTGTAACAGTTTTTTCAAACTTAATACGTTACACCGCTGTTCTACGTGGTCTCCGTGGAGGTATCACATAATACCTAACATGTGTAACATATTTTTCAAACATAATACGTTACACCGCTGTTATACTGGTCTGTGTACTACATGCGCCCGATGATAGTCTGGTTGACTTTAAACCTAACATGTGTAACAGTTTTTTCAAACTTAATACGTTACACCGCTGTTCTACGTGGTCTGTGTGGAGGTGCTTCGTGGGCCTTGCCTTCGGGCTAAACGGAGAGAAAGTTTGACAACCTCCTCGTGGTTCTCTCTGGATGCGAATTCACTATAATGTGAATTCGTAACTGATGTCAAACAATGTATGTAATGTCTGTGTTATTTGTCTTGTACCATATACTATTGAATATAGTATGATAATATAGTACAGATACTACAGACAATTTATTGTAAATGTTGTATTTTATTTGTAATGGAACATTTTCTCCTATATTATATGATGTAAATAACATTTACTTTGTTTTATTACTATTGTAAATTACAATAATTGACATTGTATTAATTTTTAGTATTAATTAATTTATATTGTGTTAATGGTTGACATTTTATCTTATTACTATTATATTACTACCGTTTGTATAATATATACTTATATTGTTATAAAATATGTAAATTTGATACAATTTCACATATTATAATTATTATATGTATATAATTTTCCATAGTTGACATTTTATTAATTGTTTCACTCACTAAAAGAGTATTTGGTTTTTTGTTAAACACCATTTAATAGTTGTATTTCTTTCTTCTTTGTTTTATCTAATAATAAATATTATTAACATTAATAATATGTTTTGTACACTAAACAACCATGAACTGCTGTTAATTAATGTAAACTGTATAAATGATTGATTAATTACTTTATTCTATTTGCATTGTATTATGTTATTTATATGTAAATATCACTGTACTCACAATATTAATAATATTGTGTACACCCCTGAACTGTTGTATTGTATTAATGGTCGAGATTTGAGTTAATTGTATTACTATTATTATAAATGTAAATTTTATACAATTTCACGTATAATTATTGTATACATGATTTTCATATTTTTATTAATTGTTTAACACACTAATAGAGAATTAGTTTTAATGATTGACATTTTATTACTATTACTAATATATTACTACTACTGTGACCGTATATACTATTATAAATGTAATTATTGCAATATTTATATAATTTACATTTATATAATTATATGTTTTACTCGGCAAAAGAGTATTTGTTTTGTTTTAAGCACTATTAATTAATAATTGTATTTCTTTCTATGCGATTCTTTCAGTTGATTTATATTGTGATTTGTATTCAATTATTAGATTATTGCTGCTGTGTATATAAATTGCAGTTCAATAAATTAAATATATATTAACATTGACAATATTTGTTTTGTATATCATAATAATAAATAATTTGGAAAACATACATTTTGTAACAATTCATTTAAAATACACACATTTCTTGGGACTGGGAATCGATCCCCTCAAAAAGAGTGAATTAATTAATTAAATACTTTGTTTTATAAGCACAACATTTTTGTCCTATTCGGTTCATAAGTATAACATAACCTAACTATAATATAATGAAAAAATATGAACTAATAACAATGCATACTATATAAATGAGAAGATAATGCGTATGATGTTATTTACATTTATTTCTACTTAGTTTTATTTGATAACGATAATATATATAACATCATGTTTTTATGCTAAACGTTTAACCACCATTCAATAGTTGTACATATTATAGTAACTTAGTAGACTGTTCATTTATTTATTTTAGTAGAGTAATGCCACTGTACAAATTATAATATTATTGGTATTTTTATGTCTGACGTTTGAACAATATTTACACATGAAATTAAATTATTGATATTTTCAAAATGTATTCAATTGAGGTTGTACCTATTTGTTTTACTCATTGTAGTTATGAAATATTTTAATTTCAATAACAATACAATATACTAATTAATGACATCTTACTGATGGTGTATTTGTTACATGCAAATCTTTATATATCCCATGCAATACCTTAGGTCACTGACATTCTTAGAACCTTTATTTCTGATTGTTGTGTTGTAATAGTATGAACTATATGCATTGGTAACTAATAGCAATTTACACATAATATTAATATAAAAAAGTTGAAAAGGAAAAGAAATTAAATAAAGTCATGATGTAAAAAATCTTTATTGATTATCTGAAAAAACAAAACAAATAAAAATAGCAAATTTTTTGTTGAGAAAAGATGTTCCTGTTAAAAACTTACTGCTGTCTGCTATCAGCGCCTGAAAAAAATAGGTTTCATTAGAATCATCAATATCAAAAACTCAAGTATCTATATAATATACTTACATCGTTGCACGGCGGCGGCGTATGAGAGATCTGATATTTTCTGGAAATAATGTAAAAATAATAAAATAGATTTATCAATATCAAACGTTTAAATATATCAATATATCCTTACGACATTAGCTCGCGGTGTCGACACCGCCGTCACGTACATGTCATCTGTTGACTGAAAATTATTCGTTTAATTAGACTTATTAATTTCGAAAACTTGAATATTTTTTTAAATTTTTTACTTATATATCTTTAAATATTATACTAAGATATTATACTTACAACGTTGGAGGGCCCCGACGGTGGCACCGCTCGGGCGGTTCTCTGCCAACGGACCTCCTGAAAATTATTCATTTAATTAGACTTATCAATTTCCAAAACTTGAAAAATTTTTAAAATTTTTTACTAATATAGCTTTAAATATTATACTAATATATACTTACAGCGTTGGACGGTCGCGACGGTGGCGCCGCTCCGGTGGACCGTGGCCGACGGACCTTCTGAAAATTATTCATTTAATTAGACTTATCAATTTCGAAAACTTGAATATTTTTTTAAATATTTTACTAATATATCTTTAAATATTATACTAATATACGAGTATACTTACAGCGTTGGACGGTCGCGACGGTGGCGCTGCTCGGGTGGACCGTGGCCGACGGACCTCCTGAAAATTATTCATTTAATTAGACTTATCAATTTCGAAAACTTGAATATTTTTTTAAATATTTTACTAATATATCTTTAAATATTATACTAATATACGAGTATACTTACAGCGTTGGACGGTCGCGACGGTGGCGCCGCTCCGGTGGACCGTGGCCGACGGACCTCCTGAAAATTATTCATTTAATTAGACTTATCAATTTCGAAAACTTGAATATTTTTTTAAATACCTATTTTACTAATATATCTTTAAATATTATACTAATATATACTTACAGTGTTGGACGGTCGAGCCGCGGCCGCTCGGCTCTGCGACTGTCGCCGACGAACCTCCTGAAAATTATTCGTTTAGTTAGATTTATATAGAAATGTAATTAGATTTATTTTTAAATATAAATATATATCCTTACGTTTGACGATGGTCGTGATGTTGGGGAGCGGGATCTGGAGAGGGGCCTAGCACGGAAAGCCCTGCCACCTCCCCTACCACTGCCACCTCCCCGACGCCTTACGCCATCACGACCACTGACGACGTCGACACCACCTCCTCGCCGCCGGCCACCACTACGACCACTGCCGTCGCCGCCGCCACCACCTAACCGCCGATTACCACCGTCACCATCGCGGCCACCACCTACACCTCTGGACTTGGCTACAATATAATTTACAATTTATATACATAATATTAAGACTGTTATTAAGGAATATGTAAAGTAAACACTCACCGCAATCCCGGGAGAGGTGTCCCCGTTAGCCACAGTTGTAACATTCTGAAACGGGTAGATATAATTGTATTCGTTTCTAATTGTATGTATTGTAAATACTAAATATAGATTAATCAAATTTATGCT